CATAGAGAGATACTAACACAGATGACAGGTTTCATCAATGGGCAGTGGCTGCTGAAAGTGTGACTAAATGATTGTGAATCCAGGGGTGCAACACAGGGTTAAAGAATCCCCAAATCAAAGGCCTGCCATGAACTGAAAAAGAACATACATGACACACATTTGACATCCCTAGACTTTAAAATATTCTCCTGAGGGTATTATAAATACAGAACATGTAAAATTGACTTTTAAAGACAAGTTGTATCCAAATTCTATCACTATTTATAACTTTCATTACTATTATTGATTGGCTATTAAAAGAGAAATGCAAGGAAGAACCCTTGTATACCTTCTGTATTCAAACCAAATTCTCTTTTACGTCTTCAGTAGTGAGCATTTTCTTCGTGGGCCACTGAAGACAAAATCCCTTTGTTATACAGGCTCTTAAGTGAAGGAGGCTGGGATGGACAGAGTAAACTTCAGATAAAGTGGGAGGAAGCTCTGCCCTGGCAGGCCCAAGAGAGAGCTGCTGTGAGGAGCAATAGGCAGTGCCTTGGAGTGCTCTTCACATCATTACACGCAGGCAGTCACCAACTTTGCCTAGGCACCGGGCCAGCTCTGGCAGGAGATTGAATCAAGGCTATTTGCATGTCTGTTTTCAGAACATTAAGTTTTGTCTACCCATCCAAAGTGAGGAGGAGATCAATGCAATCATGCGGAAAACTTAATTTCTAAAAAAAGAAGAAGAAATGAAATGTCTTGCTTTCAATTAAGTACAAATTTTATTTTCTGTAAAGTATGACAACTTCCATTTTATTTTCTGTAACTAAAACACTAAAGTATTCTTAGAGAAGGTGCTTAGAAAAGATACCTTCTCTATCCTTAGTATCCTCTAAAGTATCCTTAGAGAAGGTGCTTAGTGTTTTAGTGAAGAGTTCAAACTTTCTCTTATGTGTTTTAAGAGTAATGACAAAACCAGAAAGACATAACTACTACATGGCATAGTGCCGGGTGCTGTCATTTCTATGTTATGTCCTTGGATTCCCACAGTAGTCCTATGACATGAATCTAAGGCTTAGAAATGTCATGGGCCAGGCGATTGGGTAACTGCCACAGTTTAAAGTATGTGGAAATACCCAGAAATTTTAAACAGTGCTGGCAACTTTGTGTTGACCCTCTTCTATGAATAGTTCCCTGGTTATTTCTAATTCTCATTAACTTGGAATAATGCAAGCCATTCAGCAATACAATACGAATAGATATTTCCTTTTCAAAACACTGCACAAATACATGATTTCCTCCCTCTTTCCACCTAGTAGGAGAAGTAGGAAAAGAGCACAGTAATAGGAATTTACCTCCAAGCTATAAAGCCTTCCTATCCTTTCAGTAATCACCAAAGAGAGTTCCTAGTTACTAAGGAGACCATAACAGACTGCATTCAATTCAAGTATGACATTTGGGTTGCCTGGCTAGTGAACGGCAAACAGCAAGGAAAATATTATTGTTGCTGAAATCATTTGATGTCTATGACTAATAAAAAACATGTTGGCAAATTGAATTGTTTGAAATGCCCAAAGGGCTTGGTTAAAGCTATGAATTAATAGCAGAAAGCAATTCTTTCTGAAGAAAAGAAAAAAAAAAAAGATGAAGATGTTGAACTATTTTTAAGTGTATCTGAGTAATCAAAAGGTCTCAACAGAAACGCTAGACAGCCAATCTAAGTCTTTTATCCAATCTTTAATTTAAATTTAATTTTCCCCTCCCTTATAGCTAAATATTAAAGTGACATTTTGATTCACATCATCCTTGAATTCTAAGGGACCCACAGGCTTTCTTGGCCTTCTTATCCAACTTCTCACAAATACCAGAATTATCTTTAAACTGTACCAACTACACCAACCCTGGAGGCTTTGAGGGCTGAGATGTTCATTTACTCATGTGCTGTGCCCCTCAGGGAGCTGGAGAAAGCCAGAAGTGGAAAGAGTTGAGGGAAGCCCAACTTCCAGTGACCTCTCAACCCAGGTCCCACAGGTCACCAAGGGCCTGTCTGAAGATGTCCATCCAGTCCCTGCTTGATCTTTCCCAGAGCAGGAGGTCTTTGCCAGGATGCATCCTATCCTGTTCTGGATGCAGCTCTGATTGTCGGCGGGTTCTTTCTCATGTTGTGCCAACGTCTGCCTCCTCATGGTTTCTACCCATTGTTCTTCGTGTTATCTTGAAAACAACATTGTTTGACTCAGCTTCCTCTCCTCTTGAATAGTCCCTTAGGTAACTAAAGTTAACTGCCATGACTGCCCTGTATACTGTAATGTCTTCTCCAAACTAAATAGTCTCAATTTCCTTCTCAGATTATAAGGTAAATATACAAATATTATAATAGAAGAGATAGAACAATACAATCACCGTAAAAGACAGACAGGAATGTGTTTTCTGGTAATTGAATATTTTTTTTAAAAGAGTTAAAATGTGTTCCTAGAAAGGTGAAATTCTTAACTGATATTGAGAAACCCTGTCTCTGTTCACTGAGTTCCTGAATTCTATTCATCAAATTATTCCATCAAAATGAAAATGTAGCTTGGTAAGCCTTTTTCTTAGTGACAGACACCATGGCAGCTCCTAGTGACTGCTCATTAATTCTCACCTCACTGCATTTATTTTTTCTTGTGTTTATTTACTGTCAATGCATACTTTGAGAAAAGTTTCTGGAAAAATACATATCTGCATGTGAAGAGTTGTGACATGATTTGAGAATCTGAATACCATTTATTAAGAATTAAGGGAGGGGCAATGTAAGGAAGATAAATCTTAGTTCTTTCTCCCCCAATATCCTATAATGAAAAATTGCAAACATACAAAAAAGTTGAAATAATTATGTAGTAAACACGCATATAAGTCAAAAAATAGATTCTACAATGAATATTTTACTATCTTCTTCATCTTATCAGGTATCTATTTTTTCTCTATCCAACTGTCTTATTTATGCATTTCAGTGCAACTTGCTCTCATTAGCACACCTAGTCCTTAACATTTCAGCACACATACCACTGTTAGTTCCTTTTGGACACTTTCTAGCACTCCTTTCGCAATCTCTCTTGTCTTATTTTCCCTCATTCTCTCCACTTTCTCAATTTTCATTTCTGTACCCTTCCTCCTACTCTGTATCTCCAAAGTTCTAAATTGTAAAAAGAAAGTGTAGAAATTTAAGCATGGAAGAGTATTGAAGAGGAAAAGGTCAATGGTGACCATCCAGGACCTCACAAGGTGCTGTCACTGCAGGCCTGGGATAGATAAGATCCTCATGAACAAGCTGACCCAAACCAGCTCACAAGAGACAGAGGTATATATTAAAATGCCAACTTAATAATTGAAAAACACAGCTGTCCAGCTGCCAAATACTCAGACATATTTCTTGGTCAGCTCGGTCTCTCCTGAACTAATGTACATGACAGGCCAAATTATGAAGCCTTTTAGTGAATAGAGGCTCAGAAGAAGGGAATTCGTTAGAAGGTCTTCATGACTTGGAGGCAGAGACTTCATCAGTCTTCATGTTTCAACATCTGGCCAGCATCATGCCTGACACCCAGAGGATGCATCCTAATAATTAGTACTACCTCTTTACAAGTACTGCTATGAAAACCAGGCCTTTGCGTTGTGGCTCAGGGTACCTCTCACATGGATTGTGCTGGCTGAACCTTGCCTAATTCTACCCTCTAACTCCCCTTAAACAAGTTCCACGGCTACCATTCTCCTTCGAGTAACACATTTCCTTTAGCCCTGTTTATGCCATTAACTAAGCTTTAGTGAAGTCCTGATCTTCCTGTTTGGGGTCTAGAAGATAACCTGATCTGAGTGACCTCCCAAAGGTTTAGATCTCATAAATCATCCAGATGATGTATGTAGTCGTACTGGCAACAAAGCAAAAAGTGAAATGAGGGGTCTTTGAAATGAAAGGCCCGTTTCTATTTAAGACCGTTTTTGATAAATTGATTTTACTGGTGTTACTCTCAAAGAGTAGAGTAATTCCCTGCTGCCTGAGTATACTGCCTTCAGAGGCCAGGGAAGAACATGATCTCCCCTAGTGAGCAAAAACCATCCCTTCCCTATCTCAAGATTTATGTCTGATAAGAAATGTTAGTAGATCGTTTTCTGAGCTTCCTAATTACCAGCTCACAAAGACTTGGCAAGGTGAGCTCTTCAATGGAAAGGTAGCTATACAAAAGCAACACGAAAGTACAAATGCAACACCTTTCACAACAGACAGCTTCTCCAAAGTAGCAGATAAATCCAATTTTAAAGAATCAAATCTACTTTGAAACCCTAAAAGGAACTTTTGAATCATGAAGTCTCAAGGTGAATCCTTCAGTTATGTAACAAGTTCCTGATGCAGCTCTCCCAAAGATTTAGGTCTCATAAATCAAATTATTTTAGAGCAAGGCATTCCTGTTCACTACTGCTTAAAAACCATTCTTATGCTTGACCCTTTCTTACCCTTGACACTTTCCCCATATGGATCCCATACTAAATATCAGAAAACACCAGCGTTTGGTGGTCACATCACACATTTTAGAGTGTATCTGAAAGCAAACCATTATAGTGTTGAGGGGGAAATGACTTAGAATCAAGGCTCTATTTCACATGAGTCTACTTACAGATGGGGAAAAAAAATCTGATACTAGTAGGCATTAGTACCTCGGTGGCAAATGCCAACTGGCAACTAGAGTTCTTCTAATTGCCTCTATTATAAGCAACAGGGTTCTGACCCAGATAAAAACTCTTCAAAAGTGTAAAAGATACTATGAGGTAGAGAGTGGGCTTTTTTTGTTGAGGGTTCAAACGCTCTGACAGGAGCACATACACTGTTTCACAAACCTCGAACAGGACTCAATCTAGATAAACAGGGAGTGTTTCATCTAAGCAGGCTTCAAAGGCAGTGTTTGTTCAGACATCATTCCTTTTATTTCTTTGATGCGTCTGTCCCCCGAGATGGAAACTCTTATTTTTTAATTTTTTATTTGTTTAAGAAACTAAAGCATGAAAAGAAAGTGAAAAAGCTACAAACTGATTTGGCAACAGCTAAGCAAGAGGCTGCCATCACAGTTCTGGAACTCAATGAGAAGATAAAGACTCTATGTGAAGGAAAGCCAGCCCCTAGAGGTCAGTATTACCACGTGACAGATCCACACTGGCCCATCAGCTGGGTGATGTATGTAGTTGTATTGGCAACAAAGCAAAAAAAAACGAGGCCACAGGCCTGGCCTGACCTCTGTGTGGCACCAATAGATACAGCACATGAACTACTAACTCCAGGCTGGATTCACTTTCACCTTGAGAGGGGCAGAGAATGAATAAGCGGTTTGCTCGTTAAGGGAAAGTCTTTGAGGCTGAAGAGCTAGACTGAAATAGATCTGAGAAGTGTTGCTGGACAAGCTGGGTGGTAGTAGGGGGAGGGCAGGGCATAAGAAGGAAGGCAGGCGCCTGCAGGGACTGGGCTCTGGAGTGAGACAGAGCTGTCTGAAAACACAGGCTGACAGACTAGGGCACGGGGAAGAGAAGATAATCTTTTTTTTTTTTTTTTCCAATGGGCAAATGAACCAGAAACAAGCAGGGAAGGCTGGCTGGAGATGAAATCTGGGTAGTTCAGAAAATTGTTAATAGCCACATTGGTTCTGATTTTTTAAAAAAAAGACTTCTCCAGCTAACAAACTATAAACACACCACTAGGCAACAAACAAGCAAACAACAAACAAGAAAACCCCAAATCTCAGACTGTTATTTTAGCGAGAACACTAGTTAACATTTAATATAGTACCATGAGCCAGGTATTTTGCTAAGCATTCCATGTCTATTTAATTCTAAGAATAACCTCTAAGGTAAGTACATTTACGAATTCCCTAAGAATAAGCAGAGGCTTGGAGATGTTCATTACCCTGCCACTGCACAAGCAACACTTGGAGAGTTAGCCTCTAGAGCAGCAGCTGACTGTACCCTAGTGTGCCTTTCCCATCTTTGGGAGACTCAGGGCATTCCCTCTGCTATGTCGCAGTAATATCAAACTTCATTCCTGCCTGGTGAATCTCTTGCAAAGCTGTGGTTCCCTGGGAAAAATGTCTTCCTTTGATGTGTGCCACTCTTGCAAAGCCAGGAACATGTCATCGTTCTTACTCTGGCTTCCTTTATTACTCATAAGTAATTGTGGAAAAAGAGGAATAATGCAGAACCAAATGGAGGAGGAGGAAGCAGGTGAAGTGTAGTTTCAGAAAGGGAGACACTCCCAGCACCCTGACTACATGGTAAAGCTTTTCATATGAATTTGATTTTCATTTTCAATTTTGAATAGTGCTTTCCCAGGATTCAAATGCACGTAACACTGTGAACTTGAAACATAGTTTTTTTCTTTCAATAAAACAACATAAAGGCAGTTTGTAAATTTGCTTTTACCACCATGAAGCCTAAAAGAATAAAATCCGTTAGAGAATATTATCCATTTAAAAGTCTTTATTCTGAGGCATTAGCCAGATTTTTCATTGGTTTCATTAGAAGAAACTGACAATGATTGTAGAGCACATTGGAGAAGGTTCCCCAGCTCGCTTAAGAGAAGTTTTCAACTTTTCAATTGCATTTTAAACCCCGTGCAAAGAAAAATAATCGCAAGGTCTCTAATTCTTCTTAGTTTCCTTTTTTCAATATTACTTACTGTCTAATGACAATTTTGTCTCTCGGATATTTTGAGAGGGCAAAATTTAAATAATACTGAGGGACTAGGACTCTAATGGCTTGGGAGAGGGAAGAAAACATTAAATCCTACCCTTTTTTTTGCCCATTATTCTGTTTGTGTATGTGGTTTTTTTAACTACCTGTAGAGAAAAACATGGCTACTCATGAACAGATGTAAATTTAAGATTTAAATAAAGCCAGTCATTGTAAGATCCATAATGGATCAAAACAGTGATTCTCTTTTGGAGCTACATGTTGCTTCTCTTATTTGGTGGGGAAACTGACTCAGTTGACTGACATGTAGCACCAAGATCCTAAATCAAATATTTGCACAATCTTGCTCTTCCGCAGGTCCCTTGCAGCCTCACCCAAATTCAGTAGTCCACGAGATCGTCAAGGCCATTGTGGTCCCAGCATAATATTAACCAGCATTCTCAGAAACCTTGGTAACTTTGGCCTCTGAATTCACTTCAGAATAAAGTCTGAAAAGATCTCCAGTAACTTTAACACACAATGACCCCTATTTAATCACAGGACAATTAGGGCTGACCCACCCCCACACACACACACACGTTTCTGGACCTAGAACAACACCACTGCCCTGATTATCTTGTAAAATGTTTGTTTTGGGTTTTCAGACCTCTGTTTGCAAATGAGCTCCAGTCATAACAGCTTAAGGTGAAAGGGTGATTTACTGGTGCATGTAAACAAACCAAGAGAGAGCACTGCACTAGCCTTAGAGTTAGATGGATTCCAGTCTAAAGTACCATCAGGAAACTTCTGTGTCACTCACCTCTGCTTCTCTCTGCATTGAGACTTGATTCTCTCAAGCTAGATGTCAGAAGAGAATGGAAATATGGCCACAAGCAGCTATGGGCTGCCCTCCTTATCATATAATCTCCAGGGAGGAAAGAAAGCATTTTTCTACTAGCTCCAGTTGGAAAGTACAAGAAAGAAATCAATCCTAGCTTAGTTGGGTACCCATCTGTGGATATGAACCAATCTTTGTGGCCAGGGCTGAGGAAATAAGGTTGGACAAACCGTAGTCATGTCTCCACCACTGGGTGGCAGGGTAGAGGAAGTAAACATGGGGAAGGAGAATGCTCCAGCTGGCAGCTCCCACCAAAAGCACAGAGCTGGATTAAGAGAAATCCACTTTCTTAAAGGAATATCTCATTACTGGAAAAGAGTGATAGGCAAAATCAGTATCTCCTAGCCAGGCGTGGTGGTGCATTCCTGTAATCCCAGCTACTTGGGAGGCTGAGGCATGAGACTTGCTTGAACCTGGGAGGCAGAGGTTGCAGTGAGCTGAGATCTTGCCACTGCACTTCAGCCTTGGTGAAAGAGCAAGATTCTGTCTCAAAAAATAAAATGAAAATAAATTTAAACAAACAAACAAAAAACATCTCCAATACACCTTCAACTAGTGGTCAAGTTAAAATATAGTGTAGGCCGGGCATGGTGACTCGCACTTGTAATCCCAGCACTTTGGGAGGCCGAGGTGGATGGATCGCCGGAGGTCAGGAGTTTGAGACCAGCCTGGCTAACATGGGGAAACCCCATCTCTACTAAAAATACAAAAATTAGCTGGATATGGTGGTGGGTACCTGTAATCCCAGTTACTCCAGAGGCTGAGGCAGGAGAATCACTTGAACCTGGGAGGCAGAGGTTGCAGTGAGCTGAGATCCCACCACTGCAATCCAGCCTGGGTGACAGAGTGAGACTGGGTCTCAAAAAGTAAAATAAAATATATATACATATATATAGTGTAATATTTACTGAGCCACCCATACCATGGGCATTTGTACTTTAAAAGTCGATTCTTCTTCAATGAACAAAAGACTGTCATGGTCTAAGAAATAAATCTCCAATAGTATAATTTCAGACCCCATAATAAATAGAGAGTGAACCACTTTAGAAAAGGAGTCCCCTTCTAGCCTTCAGTAAGTGATACATGGTCACCTACTCTGAAGGCTTGCTTTGTTTTAACAATTATATGGCGAGAAGGGAAAAAAAGTGTTGATTCTAAGTGACATTTGTTACCTAGATTAGCACTCCACTATTTCTCTGTTGTAGTTACAAACTGATGCTTACAGTTCTAATAAGCAGATTAATGAAATGTTTCCAAATAAGTTAGAACTCCTTTTTACCTCTGTGTGATTTTTCCTTGTTTGGTTCATTTTCTAAGCAGTCTATAGGTCATTCAGGTCTGCCATTCAGGTCTTCTGATCAGAGGAATCAGAGGGATCTTCCAGAACATTAGGAATATTTTTAGGCATATTCATATTCAAATTAATGAAACTGTGTGCTATCAAATTTCTTTTTTAAAAAAACCTAAACACAGTAAACTATTTCACTGGCAGTGTGCTTAAATTACCTCCAAAGAAATAAACGATTTAAGTCTCGATGGAAAGTTCAGCTGAAAAGAAAAGCACCTTTATTACAAAACTGGCACAGCGGGAAACTTACCTACAGCCTGAGTGTTGTTTGTTGATTTTACTTTGTTCAAATAATCACAACCCAAGGCGGATTCCTTCCATCATTTCCACACCTGAAATGCTTACAGCTCTATTCAGCAGAACTCAGTAAAAACACCTATTGTATCCCTTCAAAGCTTGAGTTCACCTTTTGGTACACTTCAGTATGCTGGAACCTAAGGTTAAATTTTAAAACAATCCTTGTGGCCAGTCGTGGTGGCTCACACCTGTAATCCCAGCACTTCGGGAGGCTGAGGCAGGCATATCATCTGAGATCAGGAGTTCAAGACCAGCCTGGCCAACACGGTGAAACCCCATCTCTACTAAAAACACAAAAATTAGCCGGGTGTGATGGTGGGTGCCTGTAATCCCAGCTACTCGGGAGGCTGAGGCAGGAGAATTGCTTGAACCTGGGAGGTGGAGTTTGCAGTGAGCCGAGACCGCACTATTGCACTCCAGCCTGGATGACAGAGTGAAATTCCATCTCTCTCTCTCTCTCTCTCTCACACACACACAAACATATACACACACACACAAAACAACAACAATCCTTGTTTCCTTTGGCTTAGAAGGACAGTTACTTTGCAAAAGACCTTATTGACTGTGTCCTGTTGTTGGTGCATGAGTAGTTACTTGATCTGATGAAAATGCCTGCCTTTGACCAGAACATCAGGAACTTGGTTTATAGATTTCAAGCTAGCATACTTAAGGGAATGCATCCTTCTGAACTTTTTTCTTTTAGTTTCTTTTTCTTTTCTCTCTTAATACACGCAGCTACCAAATAAGGTGTCTAGCCTACATATGCATGTCCCTATTATCCCAATGAAAGTCCTGGCAACTCAAAAGTTATCTCTTTGTTTTACTCCCATTAAGGAGGTACTCCCCAGGTAGTGCTGGTACATCCCAGGGTAGGTTTATCCAAGACTCAATGTCTGAATCAAGCCAGCTACACTTTTGAGGGGA